AATCAAATGTGGTTTATTTCTATGGCCAGTTCGGTGGAGGAAGTCACATTACCTTAGTAAATGATGAGAATTATACCCCCAGTCAGCTCCGGCAGAACACACGGACAGGTGTCTGCAGTCCTTGGCAGAGGTTGGCAGGTCCCCGCTGAGTCGGGGCCTCCCGGACAATGTCCCGTCCAGACCGTGTCCGTCACTGGTGCCCGTGGGAAGGTCACCAGTGCGCACATCTCAGTGTGCACATTCGTATGCCTCGTTCCCTGGAGCATATTTTAAATGCCTATTTAAATGTTCAAATTCTGTTAACACCTAAGGGAAGAAATAAGAAGGAAAAATAGATTAGATGCAGACTTTTTCTTTTAAGGGAATACATCACTTTTTCTCTAAGGTCATCTTATAATTCGTTCTAAGTTTTCTTTTACTTAATGTAAACTTGCACATATTCGTTCTCTAGGGAGCAAAAAACCATCTTATTTAATCTCTTCTGGGTATGGGGCGCCTGGGTGGCTTAGTCGGTTGAGCGTCCGACTTTCGCTTAGGTCATGATCTCGCGGTTCGTGGGTTCGAGCCCCGCGTCGGGCTCTGTGCTGACTGCCAGCTCAGAGCCTGGAGCCTGTTTCAGAGTCTGTATCTCCCTCTCTCTCTGACCCTCCCCTGCTCGCGCTGTCTCTCTCTCTCTCTCCTAGAAATAAATAAAAAAAAACAAAACATTAATCTCTTCTGGGTAGGATACTTACCTAGAGGACTTTGTCGTTTTTAATGTAAGTCACAGGAACAAAATTACTTTGAGATGCTTGGTAGTTTTTAAGGGTGAAAAGAGATCCTCAGACCAAAAAGTTTGAGAGTCATTGCCGTAGATCATCACCTAATTTCACTGTCTTTGGCTTCTTGACCGAAAGAGCAGGGGCAGTATTAACACATCCATTCAAATCCCATCATGAAACATTTTCTGGTGTTGAAGCAATAGATTACCCCCCTCAAGTACTGGAATATAAAATTAGTATCAACATGTTGATACTCATCTTGGAATCCTCTTAATTGTGCATGAAAATTTAACAGTGTAACACATTTCTCAGCATTTACTTGTTCCCATATCAGAAGCCTGCAGCTAGTTAACTAAGGTGCTGCCTTTTAGCTTCAAAGCTAAACTAGTTTCCCAGAATATTCCCTGCATCATTAATTTCTGCCTATGTTTATGTTCCTTCCATTTTAAATAAGAAAATGAAAAGAACCAGATGTACCTCTTTATAAAAGATGCTGTGAGCATTTGCTTCATCACCTGCAATGCCCTCCCATCAAATTGAGCGTTACATGATCACAGCATGACAGGGGTTCAGTCTCACTTGAGTTTCACGTGACTCTATGGAGGAAACATCTGATGGGCATCTGGTGGTCGCCACACCGGACTTGGGAGATCTTAATAGCAATGGTTCATTATTTCAGTAATAGTTTCTTAGCATTAGTCCGCACAAGTTATTTACAGCCAGATTGTGTAAGCCTCAGGAAGCTTCACACGACAGGTGCTGGTATAAACTCCACACCACAGATAAGGGGACTCTGTGGATAGGCTGAGTGTGGCTCACTAATTTTCTCAGTGATGTAAACCTTGTTTTGAATGCAGCCGTTGGATGCCTAAGGTCTAAACCATAGTATCATCCTGCTAGTAATAGTGACCATGATAACTACTATTATAATATGTAAGTTGAGTTTTTTTTCTTCCCAGGAGAAGCTCGTCTAGTCTGGAAGGGAGAGAAATAAATAACAATAAAAACTGGAAAATACTGTTATTGTGTTTCCTGAATAGACTTAATAAACATTTCCTAATGTGTCATGCAGTTAACAAGCTTGTTAAAATGGGATTTAAGGCATCTTTCTTTGTGAGCAGAGGAAAGCAGAGTCTCTCCATCGGCGCCCCTGCCTCCTGGGCACGCTCTAGCACCTGGTGGCCCGCCAGATTTAAGCTTAAGTCCATACCATGTACTGTCCATCTTTTCTGCTTCTGCCGGTCCCTAGTTTGAGTTGCAGGAAGCTGATGGATCATCAAATGACCTCCCCAGTGTGGCACTGGCTCATTTTCCTTCCTCGTATCTTACCCTTATGCCTCATGCTGTTGGGACGTATGGGGCCATTTGCTCTCTGGAAATACAGTGGTCATTTCTCTCCACATTAACTTACTAAAGCTCTCTTGATACCTGGTTTACCGTCCGCCATATTCTGTCTAGTCAACCCCTACCCATTCCTTAAAAAGCACACTAATTATTTCGTCCATTCATTAACTGTCCCCAAACCCAGGAATCTTTACTCCCCAAATTTGGACATTGCTCTTGATTTTCCTCACTCACTGTCTCAAAAAATTAAGTTATTTAAAAATTGAGCTCTTCATAAGTTTATCAATTGAAGAGTGGTCTTGAAAGCATACGTCAGAAAGTGCTGACAGCCCAGGAGGTGGACAGCAAGTGCCCGTTGAATGAGAAAACAGCCCAGAAGATGGAAAGTCCTAGAATCATCTACCACTTTGGGTGTTAATGATCTTCTTCCACCCCCGCCACCCAAACCATGCTCTCCACAGTGGCCTTCCTTCCTGAAATTGGTTCCGGAAAGGCCTGCTACATGCTTCTTGAGAGCAGAGATCACAACAGTTTTTTCTTTACCCTACAGCATTGAGGATTTTGTCTGGCACAGAGTAAGACCAAATACAAGGTTGTCGGTTGATTGAAAAGCTTGCACTATGTGACAAATGGGTACAAACAATGGCTTCCGTATTGATGAACTGTCGTTCTGATCTTGGCAAGAGGTTTCCATGGCCAGTGTCAGTGCTTCTGTGGAGACCCAACTGTAGTTAGGTCTGTCCGGAGCCTGGCAGAGTGACAGAATGCACATTTAAACACTTGATAAATACTTTTAATTAGGATGGTGGATTCTCCACCCCTGGCAGGGTTAATGGCTGGGAAAATTGCATCTAATATAATTACTCCTACTTTCCTCTTTTGTGATGGAAAATAACTAGGGTCCAAAGGTTGAAGGCAGCTAACATTAACCTTTTAGAAAATTCAAAAAAGGCACTGACTTCACAGGTAGCGATGACTCAGCCTGGTTAACAGAACTAAGAGTTCTTTCAGAAAAAAAATGAGCCACAGAAGGAATGTGGGACGTTCCCATGACCACTGTAAGCCCACAAGTCCTTGATTTCTTCACCAATAGGAAGAAAGCCACTGTTTTCAGTTTACTCGGATTTTTTTCCTGACTAATTTCATTACGTGGCCAATCTTTGAATTGAAAGGTACACTGATAACCTACTAAGTTCCTTGTAAAGGGCGGTCTCCAAGGATGGCTTCAGGGGGGCCCGGCTTCTGACTCAGAAGCTTGGTTTGCTTTTCTTTCACAAAAGGGGGGCAGCAGACACTCAGCTGCTAGTGGCTGAAACAGAATTAATGATGTAATGGCTCTATGCATCTGCTCTGCTTCCTCTAGATGACATCCCGGCTTAACCATGCGGCTCACTGGAGAGAGCTCTGGATGCCTGTTGCCAGGGAAACCAGGTGTAAGTAAACACACTCACCTCTCCTCTCTTCTTGGTGGTGGTTAGAAGCTGGCTTCCTGGACGGGGGTTCATAAGAGGACACATGGAAGACTTCCGAAAGTCTGCACACGTGTGAAATATGAAAAGCCTCATTGGGAAGCCTCTGAGAATCTGTTACCTTGAATCAAATCTTAAATAATTCTGAAGTATGTTGACACCTTTGAAAAACAAGTTTAGTTGGCCTACGAGGGACCCACGCTGGTTTTATCGCAGAGCAGATGTGTCTTCTCTGTGCAAGGGCACACTGTGTAGCAGAATGGGGGCTCAGAGTCCCCGAGGGGTGACCCAGCCCATAGCCACAGAGCTCACTCGCTGTATGGTCCTCCCCACACATGTAATTCATTCTCCACAATTTGACTTCCTTGATGACACCATAAAGTATACACTGAAAGGGACCCAGCCCGGCTAGATAGACAATCAGTCATAAAGGTGTGTGACTCAGCCACATGGTTTATTAAATCAGTCCATGAGGGCAGTGTGTGTACGAAGGACACTGTCACTACTTCCACAGGTGGAGAACTGGACAGTAGTGTCCTCTGATGCAGAGCTGGGAAAAGTAAGGACATCCCCTCCCCCAATGGCCGTCTTCTCCTATTTTTCATTCAGCAACCAATGAAAGCCCTGCCCTCTTGAAGAATAATTTTAGCGGGAGCACGCGCTTTATTCTGCACGCAGTCATACAAATGGATGGAAACACGATGTCTGGTTGTGGGAAGGTGATGTTTCCTGTGCGGAGCTAGCCCATCGGGAGGCCTCAGCAGTGCTGGACCTGAGCCACTGTGGTCCTGAGTCAGGGATGCCGCCGTCAACAGGTGGGAAAGGATGGGCAGAGTTCAGTAACCCAGAGTTAGTGCAGGTGGTCCATGAGGGAATGGAAGGAAATGCCAGAGAGAACTCAGGAAATGGGAAGATGCTAAGAGGTTATGTCTTTGTGTTTTCATGGTGGTGCCCACAGAGGTCATCATTCTGTGAAGAGGGGCGTGTTTGTACCCATGCCAGAGTGGGGCAGAGGGGGGAGGAGCGAAGCCCTTTGCAAGCCAGGCCCGGGGGAGGGACTGCTCACCACGAAGGAGGGGGAGCCCCCACCCCAGCCCAGCCCCCACCCCATCCCTGGAATCCAGACTCAGCCTCCTCATGTTGAGCAAATGACTAGAAAAGGCATCTGACTCCAGTATTAGCAAAGACCACCACCATTACCAGGCTTATGGAGATTTTCTTTCATCGACTCATATAATGAAACAAAATTTTAATCCAAACATGAAAATCTGTTTCACCAAAGGGGCCTCATTATTTTTGTATAGAAGTTTCTTTTATAACCCATATTATCATCATAATAACAACTATACGCAGAATGTACATTTGTTTAAGATACTGTCATGAAGGTGGCAAATATTTTTCAAGCCCCTTCTATGTGTTGAGCACGGGAATGGTTTTACCCCATTCAGTCTTCACAAAATCTGCGCAGACATTATAATTGCTCTTGGCAGGTGACCTTGTACAGTGCTCCTATGTTCTAAAATGTCATTTTATTGCAAGAACTGCCCTGTGGGATGTATCACATAACTCAGGGAGAAGGCTGCAGAAAGGAGAAGCCGTAATAACACATTGCTGCTGTCTGACTTTGAAGCTGTGTGAGATTTTCCCACATACATCTGGCTATCATTGTCTTATCCCTCACATCACAGGACATGGAAGAAGAGAATGCAATGGCTTGAGAGCATGGTGAAATGTTCTTTTCTTGAATCTAACCACAATGACAACAGAAACAAAAATAAAAATACAATTTTTAGTTGAAAGTTACAAACTATATATAACTTGATTAGCTAGTGACTATTTCTATATGGAACCTAAACAATCAGTCCAGGTAAAAATGTTGTCAACCATTGTTTTGGGAAATTAATGGGCATAGCATTCTGATGGTGGGCTATTTATAAGACAGTGGGAGATCAGATCGAGCCTAAGTGCTATTCATGTGTGTGTGTGTGTGTGTGTGTGTGTGTGTGTGTGTGTGTGTGTGTCCCTGGTGTGGGAGTGTGTGGGCACATAGCTGTGTGCAGCTGGGTGTGTGGAAGACAGGACAGAGGAGATGGGGAGGAAGGTACCCTGCCCCTTAGTAAATTCTAGTATCTGGGAATCCCCAGGGGTGAAGCATTGAGTTTACTTGAGAGTCTTACTCAACCACATAGACGTCTGACAGCATCTTTAAAAAGGAATGTTATCTCTTTTTAATTTAACAATTAAGATCCAGCCCAACTGAGCCCAGGCAAGGGGCAGGAACAAACCACCCCATGTCCTCAGGTCCTCATCTCACCTCCAAAACACAGAGAGTGCTCTGTGCCAGCCTGGAAACGGTCTGTGCGTGGTTTTCAGCGCTCCGTGTCACCCTGGAGGAGAGCCTCAAGAAGACAGAAGGCCAGGTTCGTATCAAGGACTGTTAGAATAAGGGTTTCCCGTGCAGACCCCAAGGGGGAGGGGGAGCAGCATGGCTGGGGTCTTGAAGTTCCCAACCTCTGAGAAGAGAAAGTGGGTGAGCTTTTTCTGAAAGATTTTAACATGAAAGAACGGTTGGTTTTTTAGGACAAAAAGGTGGATAAAACCAAAGGCTTGAGAGCAACATACCAGATGGAAGGCCCTAGTCTACCCTTTGGGATCAGAAAGATGTGGGCTTTCTGCCACCGGGCTCACTTTACATTCCAGGGATCTTATCCTATTCGTCCGTACGCTTGGTATAATCCAACTTGACCTGAAAGGATTCTGGGCAAGACGTGATCATGGCGCTGTGGGGAGCAAAGGCCTTCTCACCTGCAGCCCACTGACAGGCTGGTGGAGTAGAACACTCCTCTAGAACTCCCAGTCTTAACGTTAGTGTTTTGCTAGAGGGAAAAACAACCTTGGCTTGACAATAGCCAGGCCTCCATGGTGACTTCACCTCCCCCAACTCCCAAATATAAAATCAATTGCACTTCACACCCCAGTGCAGCTCTTTCTGCCCACAGGTCCTGTCCCTGTGCTGTAAGATAAACACATAAACACCTTTTGGCAACAAAAACGTCTCAAGTGTTCTTTCTTGGCTTCCTTCTTGGCTCTGGACCCCAACACTTCAAACCACATCACTGACAATGGAGACACAGCTTGTACACATCGATAGAATGAAGGCTAGAGTGTTGTGACACATAGCTGTAACCACTGACATTCTCCAAAGCTGGACCATACAATTTTACCATCCCCCAAAAAAAGAAGAAGAAATGAATAGAGGTGCCAATATTTATGCTAATATTTGCTATGAGAAATGGATCTCGGGATGAGGTAAAGATTAAGAAGACACTGTTAACAAGCATGCGTCGGCATTACTCCTGAGTACCTACCTGCCTTTTTTCCCTTTCCTACGCAGGACAGAGTCCTCTGAAATGTCCGCGTTCAATGTGGCCACAGCCAGCAAGAGTAGCTTGCGCTGTTCCGTGCGCTTAAGCTCTTGGTCCAAAAGACTAGTGTTTCATGAACGCAGGCACTGTATTAAGTTCCCTTTGTCCAAACATCCCATACCTAAGTATGTCCTAAAGATGAAAGACTGTTAGAAACAAAGAAATTGTTGCATGAAATTTACAAATACTATATTTGCAGAATAAAGGGACAGATTGAGGACAATGTGATCATGCTGATCTGTGAATTTTCTCTCCTTGTGAAAAAGTAAAAGTGGCATGTCCTCTGGATGAAGGTGCTTCTAAATGCTAACCTCTGTAACGTTTTGTAGCTTGATTTACCAAATTGCAAGAAATGTGTGCATGAGGAGTGTAACTTCCCAGCTCTGCTGCTTGGGGTTGGAGGAAATCTAGGACACTGCACACATGCAGTCCCAGAGAACAAGTAGACTCATTTTGAAGATATTTAAATGGTGTCCAATTGCTTAATGCCTTGAGCTATCACTTTTCGAGGCTTTAACACACAGCGTGTTCCTCAATAAAAGGAGGCCAGGATTGTGGAGGTGAAACCAGATTTTGATGTTGACATCCCTACCACAGGCCAGTGAAGTGTCACAATAGCAGTGGCCACTGGCAGCTCCCACAAACAGAAGAGAAAGTGACAGCTGTCATTTGCAAACCTCTTCTGGGACATAGCGTATTGCATAATGCACATGTGAACAGTGGAACCATGTTGAAAGCACACACGTGTGCACACACACACGTGCACACACACACACATCGTAGCATCTTTAAGCAGCTGCTTGGCACACATCCATTGGCTCATTTCCTACATAACGAGCCCCCCCTCCACCTGCTGACCCACTCTGCTCCTCCTCCAGCCAGCAGCTTCCGGTGCTCCTTCCTTAGAAGATCACTGAGCGTCACTCCAGCCTGTACTGACCACCCCCTTCTCAAACTCTCCTTATACATTTGACTCTCAATTTATTGGCAACTAGAAAGCCCAGCCTTTTGAGGAATTATAAGGCTCTACTTGGATTCATCTGAGAGAATTGATAGTGCAGCCTCCTGGGTCACAGGGCGCGCAAGGGGCAAAGGAGGCTGTGAGTCCCTCATGCTCATGGGAAGCATGGCCTCCTATTCATTTGGACATCAAGCATTTGCTTTATTTTATTATGCAATTCATGTGTACAAGTTGTTTCTTCTCCGATGAGATTTTCACAAATTTCTGAGGATTGACATAGAGATAAGCATTTTTCTTACACATTCTCTCAGTGTCAAATTAATGCTAGGGTGTGGTGGGTGTTCACCAAGTATCTGTCAACATGAATTGACTTAACAACATAAAAGCCCATCTGAACGGTCTGATAGCATAGAAGAGAGAGCTATATTGTAATGTAAATCCTAACATGGAATAACAGTGCAATCAATATTTGTTTGGGATGGAAAATTCCTCTTCTTCAACAGATATGGCATTGCTGGGTCAAATGGATTCACAGTCGAGGACAAACCAATACCTCATAGAAACCTACTGCATGGAGGTCTCTGCCTCAATACTGCATATTTATCTTACTTTTTAAAAATGGTTATTTGTTTATTTTTAGAGAGAGAGAGAAAGAGAGAGAGCATGTGCATGACCTAGGGAGAGGAGCAGAGGGGAGGTGCATATATATATATATGCATATGCGTATATATATATATATATATATATATATAGAGAGAGAGAGAGAGAGAGAGAGAGAGCTTCTTGAGCAGGCTCCATACTCAGTATGGAACCCAACATGGGGATTAATCCCACGACCCTGGACCTGAACCAAAATTAAGAGTCGGATGCTCAACAGACTAGGCCACCCAGGCACCCTAATACTGCAGATTTAAAATAAATTACTAGGGGCTCAGTAGATTAAGTGTCTGACTTTGGCCCAGGTCATGATCTCCTGATGCTGACAGAGCATCAGAGCCTGAGGCCTGCTTCAGATTCTGTGTCTTCCTCTTCGTCTGCCCCTTGCCAGCTTGTGCTCCATCTCTCTCCCTCAAAAATGAATAAAAACATTTTTTAAAAAAGAAAAAAGAAATACATCAATAAATGTGGTTCAAAGTAGCGGGCGCCTGGGTGGATCAGTTGATTAAGCGCCTGACTTCAGCTCAGGTCACGATCTCACGTTTTGTGGGTTCGAGCCCCGCGTGGAGCTGTGTGCTGACAGCTCAGAGCCTGGAGCTGCTTCGGTTTCCATGCCTCCCTCTCTTTCTTCCCCTCTCCTGCTGGTGCTCTTGATCTTGCACTCCCTCTGTCTCTCAAAAATAAATAAATGTTAAAATGTTTGTTAGGTAAGTGTGTTCCAAAGTAAAGTGGCACACAAATGCATGTGATACGGGAGAAGGAAGAGAGTGTAATCTACAGAACACCGCTTCACAGATACACCTCATGAATCTGCATTCAGGGTCCTCGGGAAACAAAACATGGATATTTCTAGAAGCATTTCAGGTCTAACTGCATTTCCTGAATTACCAGTGATAGCCTTGAGTGGAGGCGTGGAGTCTGGGCCAGCAGCACGGAACCCCGGAGGGGCTCCGTGGACATAAGCATCCCGGTGTCCTCTCCCAGACCCGCAGACACCCCCTGGGGCACGTGCCCACTGACATAGGCCGAACAGGAGCCAGGCTTCAATGTCAAGTATCAGAGTAAACGCCCTGCCGTAGTGCTGCTCTCACGGTAATGGAGACACAATTAAGGAAAATGGATTCACTTCTGACTTAAAGTCCAGGAATACAGGAACATGTATTGTGTCGCAAGAGTGAGTCAGGCCACCTTCAATCCAATAGGTTTGAAAACAAGGTGCTGTCTTTCTTGTGCTAATGGAACTCAATTGCCTGGATGGGTCCTCATTCCCACTTGGCAGGAGGAAATGTAATCTTGTTTGTCTTTTCAACGCATCCTGGTTACTTACGGGTGACGGTCTCTTTCCAGTAAGCCTTGGCTCACATGCACGTGAGCATGAGGTCAGTGTTCCGTTCAGAGCACAGTGGCTCCCAGCCTGCCCTCCCCTGCTCTGGGTCGGGAATCTGACCCTGAGCAGGGTTCTAATCCCAGCAGTCACAGAGCATTGAAGGCCGACCTAAGAGTCCACTCTTGGGAGCAGCAACACAGGAGGGCCGGCCTGGGCTCTGGTCCTGCACACAGCCGGCTCTCTCTTCTGCAGGAGCAGGGTGTCCAGTGACAGCCCCTCGGCATGCGGGGTGCTCCCCTCCCCTCCACTCCCAACGGGTGCTCTATCTCAGCCCCGGCCCCGGGTAGCCCGCAATGGGACCTGCCAGCGGGCTCAGGGCCCAGCCTTGGCCACCAGGCACCATAAGGACGAAGGGCTTAGGGGTCCGGGCCAACCCTGTCCCCATGGACACGGGGCTGCTCCGCTCCACCCTCCCGACTCCGGTGCATCCCAGCTGGGCCTCAACAGGGCCGTGGTCGTCCGGGTGTCCCCTCTGCAAACTAGTCTGGACAGAAGCAGAGACCTCATACTGAGACCCATTCTCCTCTTGGAAGGGTCTTTGCTCTCCTGCCTCACGCACTTGGGCTCAGGCGCCGGTGGGAAGGAAGCTGGCTCGATGGCTGCTCAAAACCCAACTCCCCGTTCTCTTTCCTCCAAACTGGGAGCTACATTTCCTTCCCACCGGGACCACGGTGACCAGTCGCTCCTGCCTCACCAGCGCCGCGGGGTGGACTGAGGCTATGCCAGGTTTGCGTTTAGCTTGGCCAGTTACAATCTTAGCCTCTTTGTTCTCAGCAATAAATGTCTCTTCCATCATTCCCGGGCCCCATGATTCCCGGGTCCCCATTCACCCTTGTCGTTGTGGTGCTTGAGACACAAGGAAATTTACCTCCTTCAGGATTTGTTAGCGCCTTGTCCCACTGCTCGGAGGTCAGATTCCCAGAGCCACCTCTTCCAAGCTGTGCCCCTTTGGACAAGTTACTTAACCTCTCTGTGCTTCGGGCTTCTCTGTTAGCCAGAGCTTACTGTGTTCTTGTGAGATTAAATTAGCTGTTCATATAAAGAAAATGAACAAGTTTTGCATTCAGAGTGTGAATATTTAATATATAATTGCAGGATTATTTCAAAGAGGGGGAGAAAGAAGAAGAGAAGTAACAAAATGGCTTCCGACCTGCCTGAGAACACGGAACAGAAGAAAAGCACAAATATGCTTTAAAAATCCCACAGAGTCACACAGTGATCACAAGTTCAGGACAACATCAAGGCAGCTGCTGATGTGGAGGAGGGAGAAAGATCAAAAAGACAGCTGTACAAACATCATGAAAGAATTTCACGGTCCCCTTCGGGTTGATTCCATCAACAAGAAGTCACATGGGCTAAAACAATGAAGTGGCCAAACTGTTCTTGGTGGATTCTCTGGAAAGAACCTGGCCCTTGTTGTATGAGATTCCAGCATGGATGAAATAAAACTGAAATTTCAAAGTACAGCATGGATTCTGTAAATACTCAAATATATTTGTGTGAAGATGATAGTTCATCCTGACTGGAAATAGAGACGTTTCAGTTAAGGTCAAGCCCACCTGGGATTATGACTGATTGTCCTGCATTAAAAAAAAAAATCTAAAATTGCCTACAGTTGTTGTTAGAAACTGAACAATATCGGGTAATTTAGGAAGACCCCAGACTTCACTCTCTGAGTGAAGGAATGAGGCCCAGGGTTCAGAGCAGCAGGTGACGGGGGCCCAGCCACACTTGCATTTTGTCCACTGGGACCCTGGAATCACCTGACTAGCCTGTGCTTCAGTATCTTTATCCAGAAAATGGGCTATCATAGCACCCATGACTTGAGTACGCTGTAAAAACTGGATACAATTCACTTGAAATTCTGTACTAATCTGAAGGACCAATGTGATTATATATAGCTTCATATAATAAACCAAGTAAATTCAAACTTCATTAGCAGAGGAATAAATTTTAATTATAGATGTTCCTTCTTAAAAAGTGCATCTAGGGGGCACCTGGGTGGCTCAGGCGCCTCCCGTAATCACACTCTGTCTCTCTCTCTCAAATATAAACATTAAAAAAACATTTTTTTAAAGTGCATCTAAAAGTAAGTAAGTATTCAGGAAATTATGATTTGAAGTAACAATTTATAGTCTTCAATTTCTTCTCAAACATAGCTATCAGCCCCCAGTGCACTATTTAATCATTCATGTGAATTATCTGTCCATTTGCATTTTAGATGAGGCCTTCTTTCAAGACTCAAAATGTTGTTGTAACATTTTAGTGATTTAACGTTTAACGCTCATCGGGACCCGCTAATCTGAAGACGAGCCTCTCCCAGCCTGACCGGAAGTGACCCCCAGTAAGCAGGAGTGTGTGGAAGGGCACAATTTCTTTTTTCAAGGCTCACTCACTTAACATGGGACAAAGCTATTTGTATCTAAATGTACTTAATTGGTACAAAATCAGAAACCATAGAAATTTGGAACATGTCGACCTTTAACATTAGTATATAGTTTACCATCATGTTGTCACGTCAGTTAGATGATATTTGGCCACTTATTCTGGTTAGATTCCTTTCCTGTTTCATTTCTAGAGAGGACAAAACAGGTCATTTTATTTACTTCCGTATAATATTGGCTTAACTACAGTAACTAAAATATACTTATAAAGTTGTAGAAATGTTTTCTCCCTGAAAGTGACTCAAACACTTTACTTGTAGTGTAGACCTGGTGGTGTAGGCTGGTTGCTAGAGAGGCAAGGGAGTGGATTCACTGAAGGGAAATAGGAAAGGAAGGAGAACTGAGTGCATTCTGTTCCCTGGGATGGGCTCCCGGAGGCAGGGCCCTCCAGCCTCTGACTAACTGCTTGCAAGGCCCAAGTTCACAAATAGCTTTGATTTTCTATAAAGACAATGACAAATGTGGGCAGAGGGGGGACCCTATGCTGGAGACATTTAAAATGATGCAGGCATCTTTTCTTTAAGGTTATAGGGAAAAGGGATTTGGAAACTACAATCTCGTGCCCAACTAACAGATTCCTCAGAACAAATAAAGTCAATCTCAGACATGTGAGATCCTAGATCATCTGCCTTTTCCACTTGAAAAAAAACCACATAGTACATACTCAAGATCCCTCTAAAAGCCCAACTAAGGAGACGTGAGATCCAAGATATGAGATCTTAAACCAAAAGAAATGCATTGAAAAGCAACTGAAACAAAAAAGGAAGAAATAAAAACAAACACAACAAAAAGACTTGGATTATAGAGGAGTGACAATTTCAAATGAAACCTCTCAAACAATAAAATGATATTTTTTTTAAAAAAGTGATCTTATTCACATTTAGTTTCTCAATTATATGGAAAAGTAACTGGAAAATGATGGGGAAATGCCCAAAAGTTTTTATAAGAACTCTATGGTCCATAGATAAATAAGATAGCATAAAATGTTACGATCTGGGGAAACTGATGGAAGGTTAGGCAGATCAGGAGGGAACAAGAGGGAGTAAGGAAGGACCTATTTGGTTTTGACCCTTTAAATAGTCCAGAATGACACTGATTTGCTGAAGTTTAATTACATATTTTTCTCCAAGATTCTCACGACATAACTTGGTTCAATAATAGAATATATCCACATATTCATGTGTTTATGCTACGATCAATTTTCTTAGAATTTATTTTATTTATTTAAATTTGTTTAATGTTTTATTTATTTCTGAGACACAGAGAGAGAGAGAGCGTGAGCAGGGGAGGGTCAGAGAGAGAGGGAGACACAGAATCCGAAGCAGCTCCAGGCGCTGAGCTATCAGCACAGAGCCCTGCGCGGGGCTCGAACCCACGAACTGTGAGATCATGATCTGAGTTGAAGTCAGACGCTTAACCGACCGAGCCACCCAGGCGCCCCTATTTTAGAATTTAAAATCAAGCACAAAATTACTAAAAAATTAACATGTTAAGATACTGATAATGTTTAAAAGGATACAAATGACAGAAGTTGTGTAGGAGTCGGTGGGGCAGAACAGGTGAAAAATAAGGTAGAAGGGAGGCCAGTGTCTTCATTTCACTTCCTGGGTGTCGAGATACTGGGTACTTTTGATAGAGTCAGAAATACAGATAAGTACTTAAATCCATAAGTGGACGCTGACCTAGGTGCACTCCCTTCCTCACCTTGTAAGTTATTATATAAGATCTGAAGCCAAGAAATAAACCGTATAAACACCCAGTTTCAGTCACTGTGGTGACTGACGATCTAAAAACAAGTATGGAGATAGTTTCATCTGAGAAGTGATTAGGTTGAAGACCAGAATATTTTATTTTCTATTTAATATCATTCTGTGATTTGGGGGGTTATTCAGACCACATTTATGTACCACAGACTCACCGTCCCTTCACTAAGCTGCTTGGGGATGGATGTGTTTCAGAATCAGATGATTTTTACCTTACCTCACATCCCCGTAGGGTCTGGGATAGCCTCGCATCGTCAAACACTCTACACGTGGGGCTACACGAGTAGCCTCACATTAGTTCAGGACAGATGACTGTAAAAGATTTACAAAACTGCCATCGCCCAGAGCCTCGTGGGTTTTGCACTTGTGCCCAGGCACGGTGGGGCTCTACGCAACCGACAGAAGGAAAACACCCGTTCGCCTCCAAGGTGGAATCGCAGTGAAACACACCTGCTGCACCTTATCCCCAACTTTCATTTCCCCTTTCAACTCAAGTGAATACCTTGGCGAAGTAAAACTAAGACACGCTGACCAAAGGCATTTCCTCTTTTGAAAGAACAAAGCACATGTATTTATGTAGCAATAACTACAGCAATGAAATGCTGGAGCAATTGTTGAAAGAACATTTGGTCTAAAGCATGATAAAGCCTCTGTTTAGATTTTGATGAAAGGATTTCCGTTAGTTTGGACAGGAACATACATGGTCCAGCAGGGCCCTGACTCTGACGTGCGACACAAGCAGCCAGGAATCCGTGTCCTTTGCAATTTACCAATCTTTCCACTCTGCCTTTTGTCACAACTAATGTTATTCATGTTTCTTCTGCTAAGGATTATAATTTTTATTTCCAGGAAGGACAAGAAAAGGTCATGCTCCAGGTGAACTAAATCATGGGATGTAATGGGGAAGGGGGGGCATCACTCAACCTCAACCACGTTTACATTATGGTGAAAACCAGAGAACAGGATACACACCGTGGACACTAAGGTAACACAGTGATCACCTCACTAAGTCAGGGATGTGAGGTCAGTGACGATGACAACCAGCAGGTCACGTTTGGGAGCTCACTGGGAACGAGGTGGTGTCACAGGACAGCTGAACGGGGAGCACAGGCGGGACATGACGCAGGCGCTCACACTGACTATGAAGGAGACCGCAGCCCTGATGCTGGCGGGAGAACAAAGAGACTTACTGTTTACGTAAATCTTAGCGCTTGATTGCAGTTGTTTAAAAAGGGCAAAGTTTGAGATCGTTGGTGTCAGGATGTCTCATCCGACATTATGGCCTCATCATGAATCAGACCTGAAACTGGTCCAGTTGCCATAGCAACTGCATCCCTGAAGCCTCACTGAAGTTTTGTTTGGCTGTGAAACGTCAGCCTTGAAGATGGGGCGAGGAGGGTCCACCAGGCTGCCGGCCAGTTTGAGGACATAGAGGAGCGTCAGCTCTGGGGACCTGGCTGCCACTCGCTCCTCAGGTCCCCCTGCATCCAGGGTCCTCTTCATGACAGTTGTGGTGGCCACTGCTCCAGGGAAAGGAAGGGGGATAAACAGCCAGCATGAACCATCCCACGGGCACGGGGCCTGGAGTGTTCGGAAGGGGGTTGAAGTCAAGAGGCCTTCCTCTTGGAAGGAAGAGGGAAAGGGTTGATTTAGAATGGATTGTGGTCAGATTGTGGGACCCCATGCAAGACAGGAGGCGGAGTCTGGAAATTATTCTGTAAGGAACAAATACTGGCTAGTGGTGCAGGTCATGAAGAACAGAGCTTAGCAAAATGAATGAGATCACGATGTGTAGATTGTAAGAGCAGAATAAAAACATCACGGACAGAAATAATAGGCTTATTAGTCTAAGTTTGAAGGGACGGAGGATCAGCTACATGAGGCAACTGGAAAATAAGTAACACCAAATGTGGAATCAGCTTCCAAGTAAGCCCATGATGGTGTCCCAGGGACCCACTGTGGAGCCAAGGGGAAGTCCCAGGTGGCTTCCAGAGTCCTTAGGCTTCAAGACAGAGCCTTGGCAATGACAGGTTTGAGGACAAAAGTCCATTTGGGTTTCCAGTGCGAGGTCAGTCTGGTATGTTCGGCAGGACGGTGAGAGGCCAGGGAGCAGAGCCCGGGCAGGGGGAGAGCCAGGATCCAGGCGCGGATGGCTGGCAGTAGAAAAGCTGATATCATCACCAGGAAAGGAGCATCGCACAGAAGCTGAGCGGGCTGAGGGGTGGGCACAGTGGAAAGAGAGCAGGAGAGGAAAGGGAAAGGGACCGAGACGGAGCGAGAAGAAAAGGCCAGAGGAGGAGTGAGAACACGGGAACATCGTGGGACCACAATGCCGGGGAAGGAGAACGGCCAAGGCCGCAGAGCTGGGGCTGCAGGTAGTCCAGGGAACGACAACTAGCTACACACGATGAGAACAGACCGTCACCACCACCCCCAAGAGGAAACCCATCACTCGTGAGGACAGACCATTAGAGTGAAAGGTTAACTTTTCATGTTTAGGTATATTTTCACACGCTTCCTCTGCTGACACCTAATACAGTATTAAGGCTTTATTTCAAACAACTCCTCTAGCAGGTGTATCCCCTAAAACATGTTGGAAAATAAAAATATCTAAGATTGTTATGAAAGCAGATTCAATTTCCACTCTGCCCCTCCAATTATCAGACACTCCCAGCTTGGCCCCATCCCCACCAGATAGATCTTGTAGAACAAAACTTTGTACCTACAATAAAATCCCGATTGACCCAATAAGGGAAGCCATAGATAAAAGGAAGATAAAAAGCAGAGGAAAAAGTTCTCAGAAATTTTGAGTCTATATCTTATATCACATTTTGAAACCACATTAAAAAGGCAAAAAATGAGAGGTCCTCTAAAGCTGTGAAGCCAGAAATCAGAACTATATCCTGGTTCAATTCTCTATGGAAGGACTGAAGGAAGGAAGGAAGGAAGGAAGGAAGGAAGGAAGGAAGGAAGGAGGGAAGGAAGGAAGAGGGAGGGAGGAAGGAAGGAAGGAAGAGGGAGGGAGGAAGGAGGGAAGATGGAGGGAGGAAGGAAGGAAGAGGGAGGGAGGGAGGGAAGGAAGGAAGGAAGGAAGGAAGGAGGGAAGGAGGGAAGGAAGGAAGGAAGGAGGGAAGGAGGGAAGGAGGGAAGGAAGGAAGGAAGGAGGGAAGGAGGGAAGGAAGGAAGGAAGGAAGGAAGGAGGGAAGGAAGGAAGGAAAGAAGGAAGGAAGGTAGGAAGGAGGGAAAGAAGGAAGGAGGGAAGGAAGGAAGATGGAAGGAAAGGAGAAAGGAAAGAAGGAACTCATTTCACTTAAAATTAAATAAAAGAAAAGATCCCAATAAATTGTCGTAAAAATTATAAGGAAAAGAATTAGGTACAGAATAATTTCCCTGCATACAGTATAAACTTACCAGAAAGACTTGTCCACAAAACAGTTGTACCAAAAAGGAAAACACAGACCTGTCTTACTCAGGGGTTATTAATGCAAAATCCAAAATAAAATATGAACAATCACAATGTTATAACATATGAAAAAGAATCACCCTGTGAGCAAGGAAGTTTCTTCCCGAAATATGAGTGCCTCAGTATTAGAAAGCCCATTGACAAAGTTCATCATATTAGTAAAGGTAAACAAAAGTCGTATGGCTTTCACAGGTATATAAAAGACATTTGACAAAATTCATCACTCACTCATATTAAAAATACTCAATAAGTAAACATGGATGACTATTGTTTCTCGATTTGCATTAGGAGCTCGAGGCTTCCGTGGATGTTAGAGACAAGGCATTAAAAAAGGAAAAGTGACCAGAGACATATCAGTTAAGAAGGAAGAAATAAACTAACTTGACTCCGTGATGGAAATACCATACATAAAAT